AACACTAAAGGAAAAAAACATGATTGAAAGTTTTATGACTATCTGGACTACGTCTGTCTCCAGCAACAGTGTGTTAGAAAGACTGTGTTGTTTTTCTGAGAGTTCTTATAGTTTATTTTCATTTAATAACTACAACTTACTGTTTTTGGAATTCTCTCTGTTTGGTTTTAAGATGCATCAGCCTTTCTTTCTTGTCTGAAAACCTGGAAGAAATTAAATGGTTTTATTGATATTTTGCACAATATGGCATTGTAAGCTGAAACGATAAAAAGACTGAAGCTTCTGGGAGTCCTTAAACCTCAACTATCTGTCTTAATCTTTGGAAGTAATGGCAAAATGTATAAAACTCTTGCAGAATTCTAGAGCATCTGTCTCACAGGAATTGCAACAAAACCTCTATGCTGAGGAAACATCAGCTTGCCATATTATTGAACTTGTAAACAAATTACTTGCTATTTCTAGAAGATTTATAGCTTAGCAAATTCAATATTTTCTGTACCAAGATAAACATATAGTACTCTTTAAAACCTTCAGTCACTGGAGAAATTAACAGTACTATCTCAGATACCATAGTGAGTCTGAACCGCGTTATTTCACAAGCTGTGATGATATTAGTTGAGTCCACTCCGATAGTGGGCAATGCAGATTTTCATACACTAGGCATTGCATTTCCTCCCTTCTAACGTGGAATTGTCTGCACTTTATTCATTAATGGGTCAAATAGGACAGCACTCTCTCAAGACTTTTATATGACATCTAAATCTTTCTTGTATTATAACAGCAGTAAGTTGCTTTGTCTTCTACTTATTTCTGCTAGGCACTTGTAGCCATGACAAGTCCGCAACCCAAATATCTGCTTGAGTTCTGCTTCACCAGATGTCTGAGGTACAGGAACCGCACGGAACTAATCAGACGGGAATTTTTTTTTTAGGATTCACCATCCTGTGTTTTCACCCTTTGAATATGCAGCAGCCATGTTCTGCCCTTCCATGTTCCACAATGTATTCAGAAATACATTTAAAGAAAATAGCATATGAATGCTGCATATTGAGAAACTGCAATGAAGCATGAAGTGACAAAGCTAACAGTAAGAACAAACAGCAAGAGGAACAGCCAAGAGACTTAGATGGCATAAAAAAATAGCAAACGTGCTTTGTCTTCTGCCAGTGTATCGCTTCCCAACTTTCCTTTGTGCTTCCCGTGTTACGGCACCATCCTGATCCAAACCTCAGAAGTGTGTCTTGGGTTAAGTCCAAGTACGGAAAAACAATTAATTACATTTCCCTCAGGAACGCATAGAACTGATAATTCTATTGAGGCCTAATACTTCACACACAACCCATCAAGTCCTTTATTCCAGGGATATCTAAACTTTACTTATAAAGAATTATACAGTGAGCCCTGATGGGATGGTATCTTGTGCCTCTCTCTGTTCAGCTCTGTCTGTTTGATTATGGGTAAAACTTTAAAATGTTTCATTTCTTTCCTTGAAGTGCTGAAATCTGAAAGCTTGGTGACTAACTTTGGGTTCCGAAAGCGTGTCATCACCCTTCCAGATGACACTGGCATTAAAACCACCAAAACTACCAGTTGCTGCCTTCATAATCAACCAAAAATATCTGTTTTCCTTCCAAAACAAACCAAAACCAAATGCAGGTGCTTGGCATAAAAGCCAGGGGCCACGCGTGAGCCGAAGGAATGTGGTGCAACTGGAGCCCTCAACCCAGCGCCTTCGTTCTTCCTGTGTCCTCACCCCACCAGTCATCATGGAAATTACAAAAGTGCACTGTACTAGGCTCCTGTTTACTGCGGAGCAATGCACACCTACTGTACCCCTGACCTTTGGCTGCAATTAAAAATAACTTGGCCCAGAAACACACCGCCAGGCAGTCACGCCGGGAGAGCGAGATGGGGTAATTTGGCAATTCTTGTTTCCAAAGCTGGATTAATGGGCACAGAGTCTGACTAAATGCAATTACCCAAATCACATCCATCACATCAGCAAAAAGTTGAATGATTTGTCCAGAATCTGGGACTAAATTAAGTTCTTACAGGGGAGGGAAGATAGAAATATTTGTGAAAGCCTGCAAGAATTACAGCTCACCACGCACTTCAGCAACTATGTCAAACAGCTCCTGCAAACTTCTTTCGCAGGTTTCTCCTAAGCAGACATTTCCATTTCTTTGTATAGCCCCAATTTTAGTTACTTGGTGCAATGCAATTAATTTTTCTCTATGTATCTACCACCTTTCAATTTGGCAAAGAAACAAAACTTTGCATGAACTATTATAGGAACTCCCATAAAATGTAAACTGAGACAAGGAGACACTCAACATCTCAAATTACCCATTAAATGTTTCTCTTTCCTCAAGTCTTATCACATTAAGCTGAGATTTTCTACAGTTACCTGGCTTATTTCCACATGTTCATAATTAGAGAGAAGCAACCAGAAAGGACTTCCTAATCTATAAGAATTGATTAATGCTGAAGGAGTTGAGGACAGCAATAATAAACTATAATAGAACTCCACTGCTGCAAAAAGTCACTATTCCTAATCATAACCCACAGCTTAGAGAAGTCAGACAGGCTTAGACATCACAATTATATTGTCTTTGGCTTTTGCCATCTGCAGACATACAAAGCAAAGCAATTCAGTATGCTTGTAAAACACACTCTGAGAATTTATGCATATGACAGGCTGGAGTAAACTCCCATGAGCAAGAAGAGTCTCCAAGCTGAAACCAGCATCAAGATGCTGGCTTAGCTTTTGAATATACAACACGTTACTAATGAAAAGAAGAATGTCAGTGATTATTTTACTGGAGGACTTCCAGACTACTCATCCTTAATTGTAGCTGTACTTCAATAATTAATCTTAACAGCTCCTCAATCTCTCCCCCTCACAGATACTGGGTGTGATTTTTGCCAGACTTATGAACAACTTCAATTTTACCCTAGCTTTTATAAAAATTAGCACACAAAACAGTCCAATGAAAAGAAATCTGAAATAATTCTTACTGATAGAACATGAAATCATTTATCTTCTTATAAGGAAAAATCACAAGTAAATTCTAAAAATAAAACACCACTGGATACAAGGGGTAATGCTTGCTGTCTTTACTTTTCGTGAGAGAGAGAACAACCTTTTTCCCCAATCTGTAACGCTTCAAAAAGACAAATGGGAAGTCCCAGTGACCCCATACACTTCCATACCCTGAATTTCTCAGGCCACGCTTATAACCGAGTCACACAGAAAAGCCCTTGTCGGCCTCCTCCAGCACCAGCCATAACGTTAATCTAAAATTAACCCAGGTACTACTAGAAGACATAAAATAAACAAATAAATAACGCTGACAGTAAACACAACCTGAAATCTAGCCAGTTAACTGCACCTGTCCCTGCATGACTTTGCCATGGTGTGTGGTCACTATTTAAAAAAGTTGCTTTCCTCTCTCTCTCTTCACATCGCAAGAGATTCATAGAAACCCACTCGCTGCTTATAAAGCACAGAAAAAGAAAACTGACCTCTGAAGCGACAGGCTATTTCTCTCTAATATCAGTCATTCCAAGTATTAATTCTAGAATGCAGACAAAACATTCCAAGCACAGTTTTAGAAATACGTAATTCCATTATCTTCAAAAGAAGAAGAAACCCAAGCTTTACGGGACTTTGTCCCTATGCTGAATATTCCTGCTGCAATCAAGCATGCTTACGTTACTCACATTGTGTTATTCGTATACATTTGGTTCTTGCTTTATTTCATTAATACAAAGTTGCTATTTTCAATGAATTGCACTGCTGCTTGGAAAAGTTTAGAGCAGCAGAGATAAAGCCTGGGGAAATTGAGCATACAGGGAGGCCCCCCAGAATGGAGGCTCTAGGAGAAAAGAACAGCAGTGAGCCCCACAGATGGAACAACGATGTCCAGAAAAAGACAAAGACAGAAAAAAAAAAGGGACTAATTCTTGCACTTAAGAAGCACAGTGTACATATACAGAAGATTTTCTAGCCACAAAAGGGCCAGTTAAAGCATCTTGGGCAGATACAGTGAAAACTGTCAGACAGAAAAGCTGATCTTGCCTCACATGACAAGATAAGAGAAAGATAAAAGTTTGTTTTTTTTCCTACAAGCTGTTGCCTCTGGTATTTTGTCTACAACTGCTTCTTTACAGTTTCATTTTTCTGATGGCTAGAGAAACTTTTAAGCCTTGGTTAATACAGAACAACAGTGGTTCCACTATAATGAAGGTTACAATTGAATTTCTATAATTAAGCCAGATGTTTGGCCAAAATCTTAAAGTTGCAGAAGGGGCAGGACAAAATACTTGGTTTATGTTCCAAATTCCAAACCCAACTTTTTCATGGAGGGTGCAGATAACTGCAAGCAGTCTCACACAAACACAAGTTTTCCCATGTACTTTAGAAAGACTAAATACACTTTGTGGTTCCATGACAGAGTCTTTTATGTAAATAAAAAAAGAAAAGAAAACCAATCCAGTGGCAGACTAAGGTCTCAACTCTGCAGGCTGATTCATGCTGGCTGACACCCTGTGCCCACTCCTACCGATGTTCATGGAAGACAGGCACCGCCGTCCCCTTGGCTGCTCTTCTTTTTGGCAGAAGGATGCGAAAGAGGCTTTGGTGCGAGGACCATACTGCACCAGATACTGCTTACCATCTTCCCAAAATAGTCCAAGAAATCACTCTCAACAGCTGCTAATGAAGCTACAAGTGAAGGACCAAGAACACAGCGTCAGCCAAAAACCAGAGCTATTCCGGAGGCGGCACTGGGCAGACTTTTTAAGAATCTGGGATGGACGTGCCGTGAACGGCTGCTAGGTTGGGGCGATCTGCATCTGAGTCATATAATGAGAATATTTGCTTATTGATGTAACACTCATTCAGCCGCCCTCCCGCAGAGCCAACGCTTTGCACAAAGGAGCAGGAAGGTGCATGATTAACTCAAGTGGAGTACTTTTTGTAGTTGTAAAAGGGGGCCCGTGATTCAGACTATTTAAACAGACAGGAAAAATAAGAAAGATGCCGTTTTCTTGTACACCTTCCTGATTTTGTTTAACGATTCAGAAGACTACCGGTTTAACGTGCGCTGCCGAAGAGAGATACGCGTTTCAAACATCCTACCGCACGGCGCTCTGCCC